ATGTTTGCAACTGCACCAGAAGAGGTCAGTTTGCTATGTATCTTTTCCAAATAATACACTAAAAGCACCCATGTTTGATTTTGTACAGTAACTTCTGATCTCTCTCTCTCTCTCTCTCTCTATCTCTCTCTCTCACACCCACACACACACACACATTACACGCTCACACACACGGTTGTTCCCCTTCCTGATTTGTTGAGATGCAACCATCTGTCTATTATCTATCTTTTAAAGAGTTTCTTCAAGGATAATTACACCTCTTCTAGCACACCCCACTATGACTTTTCGTATCACATGAGCAAGAGCAAGAAATCTTCTTCATTCCGCTTAAAGATTCCTGGGTTATAACAACAAGACATGTTCACCGCCTGAATAATTGTATATTAATCCTTTTGGATAAATGAACAAAGCGAATCAAGCAAGTACATTTAGTAGTGCACTGGAAAGATCTGTCAATGTCAAATAAGCTTCTAATGCTGGCATTTTCTAGCAGTTGTGCATTCCATGTCCACATAAGTGTTCATATATTTCCTTTACAGAACTTCAAACTAAAGTATTGAGGTAAAAATCGCAGATCCCATTCCAGATCGGTTTGTCCAAAGCAGATCTCAGGAAGGTTGTAAAGTCGAGTTTATCTGGGGTATGGAAATGTTGCTTGCTTTGATATTTTTTTGGCGCATGGTTTGAAGGATATATGTTGAATTTCTTTTTTATTTTCGGTTTTTAGGTTGACAAGTCTATTACCGCAATGTATAAGAAATTGCAAAAGAATTTGACATCTGAGGAACTGTTGCCATCGTTGTGGGACAAATGCAAGGTACTTTGACTGAAACAGCATGAATGAAAGTTATGCTTCATGAACTACTGTATAGCCTTCTTCTTATTTATTTTTTTTCTTCCAATCACCTATCTAAATTTTAAATGAATAATAATAATTAACATGGAAAGATTGTTTTTTTTTTTTCAAATATTGTCCGAATATTTTATTATCCTACCTACGGCAGGCGGAGTTCCTCAACAAGTATGATAGCTTTGCTCAACTAGCTGCTAAAGTCTATCCGTCTGAGAAAATCCCGTCCGTCTCGGAAATGAGAGATCTATTGGCATCCATGTAGAGGAGCAGTGAGTTGGTAACTCCTCAAGTTTTCAATTATAGAAGATGTTCGTGGTGATCTTTATTTTTTTTCCCTTTTTATTGGGGTTTGTTTTTCTGGGCCTTCATTTGATTTATTCTTTTGTGACTCTTGCTCGACTGAAGATTTCTACTAGTTCATGGATGCATATTGATGCATGGCACGCTAGTAATCTTAGAACCTAATTATTTTTTACTTAAGAGTAGATTATTGATCAGTAACTCAATTTTGTTTAGTTGCTTCTCTTGTTTCCTGCATTTCTATACTTTGGCTTTCATCATTTCTCGATATAGGAAGAAGTATTCGAAGTTGTGACATTGGTGTATAAACCGATTCTATATTGCCGGGCAGTTTTTTGAGGGTCGATTGGACCTGTTAGCTGACTGGTTCACGGTTTTTTTGAGTTTATCTTTTTCCAAATAATATATGTGGTGCAATATTTTTACGATAATTTCTAACGTTCGTATAAATTCAATGCAATACCAATAAAAAGGTAAACATGTTTGTTCGTTGAGTAAAAATACTCAAGTTCTGTTGTACCTTATGACTAGTACAGTCCCGTGCGATGCACGGGGATTTATTATCTTCGTCCCTTTTATAAAGCAATGTTCAGTTAAAATTCAAAGTACTTACTAAAGGAAAGATCATGCCATTAATAATAAATAAATTAATAAATACAATGATAATAAAATCTATATATTATTGAACACTTCCTTATATACAACGTTCATGGTTTGATTCTTTGGCACGTCATCGTCGCCGCAAATTAGGACTTTCAAACCCATTTCTGTTTGTGACACGGGAGACAGCAACATACAATTGACCATGACTAAACACTGGTTTCTTAAGAAAGAAACCCACATGCGATAATGATTGTTCCTGACTCTTGTTTATAGTCATGTTGTAAGAAAACATAATGGGAAACAATTAATCCAATAACATCTACAAAAATATAAGAAAATGCATCATATTGAAATGTATAACATATAAAATAGTTTATTACAGATTTAAATTAAAAAAATCGAAATAAGAAATAAACAAAAAAAGTATAACGTACCAAACAACATGACTTCATCAATGTTACGAACATCCATTAAAGTTAGAAATAGAGAAATCACCCCTCCATTTGATAAATCACCTCTCCATTTGATAAATCAGCCCTCCATTTGATAATCTTGGTTTGACCATTGATAATGATCCTCCTTTTACCTATCGTCGATTTATGGATGCCAGTATTGCTATTCACTTGATAGTTTGTCAAGATATAAGCGCCACCTTCTTCGATATCACCGATGATTTTTTGGATATTGACAGGTCGAATTATGCCAGTAATTCATCCTCCCTAAAACATTGCATAATGAATACTTCAATAAATAAATTATAAAAGATGTTGCATAAAATGATGCATTTAAATAATACTAAATGAATATATTACCTCAAAATCATAAAAGATAATCTCAAGAACATTTCGGTAATTGTGTACGTCTTCAACTCGTTGGAACATCCTAATTATGCGTAGCTTGATTGGTGGCTTATTGGATCTTTTGATATCCTTGATTACTCCAAAATCCGAAGCCATTTTCAATGGTGATGTAAAAGCTTGTAGAAAAAATTGTTTTGTGGGATATATTGGATGTCGAATACTTTTTGTTCAACGTTGGTGATGTTTATATAGTCATGTGTATGTGCCATATGTCTAGGAAATAAAAAAATATTTACGTAAGGTATTTAATATGATCCGATCCGATTTTTTTTTATTATGATTATGATTGACTTCTAAAAATATGTGTTATCGGTTTTGTTAAAAAAATAAAAAAAAAAATGTGGAACGTGATTCACTTGTGAGGGACGAACGAATATTTAGAAGATTATGTAGCCAAAAATAATGGAGTTTGTTACAATGAAATTTGGTAAGACTTTTTGGATAGATTGAAAAATAATATTTTTATTTTGATCTATTTATTTGGACAAATCCAAAACTTTAATTTACAAAATTATAATCTTTAATTTTTTGAAACGTGTAAAATTTTCTAAGATAACTTCTATAAAACAAAATGTGATCAAATCATAATTGATTTTTATGCCTCAATATTCCAAATCAAACCTTACAAATATGGTATGATTATTTACTATTAATATTTTATTTTTTCAAACGTCTGATTCTCTTAGGTTTATATGAAACAAAGTTCAATCAAATCAAAATTGATTTTTATGCACACACTAAAACTTTATCAATATGATATGTTTATTTTATTTATTTATTTTTTTTCAAATCCACGACTCAAATTTTCGAGAGAGAGAAAAAAAAGGAAACAAAATCTTATCAAACCTTATCAAATTTTTGAGAGAGGAAAAAAAACAAAAAAAATTGGAAACAAAATCTTATCAAACCTTATCAATAATGAAGATTCGTGTTTCCACGAAAAGCTAACAAAATCCCGTGGTTACCAAAATCCTATCAAATTAGTTAAGAAAATCTCATTAAATTGGTTAACAATATTGGAACGCATTTTGTTAGGAAAGATTTACGTAATTTATCTATCTAATTAATATCATATTAACGTGTGGGCCCAGTGATATTAATTTAGTATAACATCCATTATCTCAGAATAATTATTTGTTTGATTTACAACATTAATTTGAATGTAAAAAAATCCGTAATTGTTGAGATATCTCAATTCAAAATCTCAATTTTTTAGCATAAGAATTTTCAAATTTGTTACCAATAAAAATAGATTCCTATGGGATTAATATTTAAATATATTAAATTTTGGTATAAGAATCTCCAAATTTGTTACCATAAGAATCTTCAATTTGTTACCATAAGAAACCCATAAAAATCTCCTATGGATTGGAGTTTATCCATATTTAGTATAGCATCCATTATTCTCGGAATAATTTTTTGTTTGATTTACATCATGAATTTGAAGGGGAAAAAATCCGAAATTGTTAGGATATCTCAATTCAAAAAATCTCAATTTTTTGGCATAAGAATCTCAATTTGTTACCATAAGAATCCCATAGAAATCTCCTATGGGATTGGAGTTTATCAATAGTTGGTATAACATCCATTATTTTTGGAATAAATTTTTGTTTGATTTACAACATTAATTTGAATAGGAAAAAAATCCGTAATTGTTGGAATATCTAAATTCAAAATCTCAATTTTTTGGCATAACAATCTTTAAATTTGTTACCAATAAAAGTAGATTCCTATGAATTAATATTTAAAATGAATTAGATTTTGGTATAGGAATTTCCAAATTTGTTACCATAAAAATCTCCAATTTTTTTGGGATATCTCAATTAAATTTGTTACCATTAAAATCTCTAAATTTGTTACCATAAAAATCTCAATTTTTTTGGTACATGTGTTTTTTTCGAAATTTCCATTAATAGTAAGTCAAACTATTTATTTTTTTAGTCAAACTTACTATAAAAGTATTTTTCCAACAACCTCTTTATATTACTATAGATGTGTAAACACAAATATAAATACATGCTATTTTCCTTTATAAAAACTAAATTTATAAATGTAAATATAAATAAAAAGTAATTATAGATCAATGAATGGGAAAGACTTTTTTTCCCCCTTTTCCCAAAGCTCTCCGAAGTCCAAAGTTTGAATTCTTCCTGTAAGCTGGAATTTATTTATTGTAGCAAAAGATGCTTATTATAAAGTCCTTTATATTGCTTCAATTATCCAACTGGCCCCAAGATACTTTTCCGAGCTCGAGTCCAAAGGTTTTGGCAGTGGATAAGAATCATAAGGTCAATTATTTTGCTTGGGACCAAACAAATTTTCCAAAAGTTCTGTCTGCAACTTTCACTTTCAATTCTCATCAATCCTTCCAACTCCCATCAAACATGGTGGCTCAACAAGCTATATCCATGAGATTTTGCTCACAACCAACTCTCAAAGCCTTACACCCAATCCTTCCTATATCGGTGAACCCGACACTCGACACACTCCGTACCAAGAGATATCGACTCATAGCGCTAAAATCCTCTCGACAAGACGTTCATCCTCAAGTTCAAGAAAGCGAACCAGCGAGCTCATATTCACAACATTTTTCCAAGGGTGAAAGCTTAAACTCGGCCCTCGATTCACTAGAACAAATGGCTCGAGACGGCATTCTTGTAGACTCGAGCCACGTCCTTCAGCTAATGCAAGTTAGCGGCGACTCGAAATCGCTTCACGCCGGCGACAGGATTTACGAGCACGTCGTGAGATTCTCGTCCGAGTACGATATTTCGATCTTCAATAAGTTAATGAGCATGTATTTCAAGATGGGAGACTACAGAAGAGCCGGACGAGTCTTCGAGCAGATGGTCTCCAAGGACTTGGATTCTTGGAACACGTTCGTTTCTGGCTTGGCCGAGAGCGGACAAGAGGAGGCCGCCATCCGAGTTTTCTCGAGACTCGTGGAGGAAAATGGAGATTCTATAAAACCAGACGAGAAGACTTTCTTGAGTGTCCTCAAGGCGTGCGAGAGTCTAGGCGCGGTCGAGAGAGGAAAGGCGTATTTCGAGTCGATGAGTCGTGATTACCGCATTAGTCCCTCATTGGACCACTATGAAATCTACGTTAATCTCGCGAGGAATTCAAACGGGTCGAATGGTGGAGCGAAAAAGGCTGGTTATGTACACGACACTCGATATGTGCTCCATGATACTGACCAGGAAGCTAAGGAGAGAGCCTTGCTTTATCACAGTGAAAGATTAGCCATAGCTTATGGGCTTATCAGCACAGCTCCTGGTACAACATTGAGGATCATCAAGAACCTCAGGATTTGTGGGGACTGCCACAATTTTATCAAGATATTGTCTAGCTTTGAGAAAAGAGAGTTTATTGTGAGAGATAATAAGAGGTTTCATCATTTTAAGGATGGGAAATGCTCATGTAGGGATTTTTGGTAGAAAATATGACTGCCTGATCTGCCTTAACGATTAATTGTCTAACACAATAATCCATGGGTTTTGTTTTGGTTTTGTACATCATGTGCCATTTTTAGTGCTTTGTCAGGGCTCCTTTATTGAATAAAACTCCCTAGTAACCATTGTTTGAATATAAATAAGTTTATGATGCACAGATTGCATAAGTTGGTCTAAAAGAAATTCAAATGTTGAAGAATTCAATTTTCTAAAAGATTTTTTTTTTTTGTTCTTTTCAAAAGTCAACCATTAGAAAATTTCATTCATTTCCACACGTCATTTGTGGTGAATCGACTTGATTTTGCATCGTACTTAGGTTTAGGTCTAATTCACAAAAATTATACTTTGGTATAGATATATGGAAAGTACAAGTGTAAGAAACAACTCAACTCTCAACTAAATAATATAAAGGATGTTGGCCCAAACGATTTGGCCCCATAATAACATAGCCCATTTGAGAACCTCGAGCGAGTGGGTGAGGTAGCATACCGTTTGTCGTTGCCCCCGAGCTTTCGAGTGTGCACAACGTATTTCACGCGTCGATGTTGAAGGATTACGTGCATGACCTAGGGCACGTTTTGAGCTACAGCTAGGAGGTCGGGCAGAACCTGACTTACAAGGAGCAGGTGATAGCCATTCTGGACCGGGAGGTCCAGCGGTTCGAGTTCGCTGGAGCCGCCACGGCGAGGCCGAAGCCACTTGGGAGCGAGAGGATGAGATCCGAGCTCGTTACCCAGAGTTTCAGTTCTGATTAGTACTATGTATTTTTCGATTCTTAGTTTCTAGTCGAGTCGGACTTATGTTTAGTTTGACATTTCTGAAGACGGAAATATTTTAAGGAGGATAGATTGTAACTCCCCGAATATTATTTGCTACTTATGGAGCTCGACTTTATTTCCATAAATAATCAGTTTCCTTATTGGATACATTTAATATTTTTATTTGCATTAAATTGAATAATTAGTATTAAATCTAAGCCATGAAGAATTTATTCGATTTTTAATTATTAAAATTGGATTTATTTAGCTCAAGTATCGGTTTTATATTTTTAAGATAAAATCGAGCCTTGGAAATAATCGGAAATTTTATTAAATTGGGCCGAAACCCAATAATCGAGTGAGTCGATTTTATTCCGACCCACTTAAATAAATCGAGCCCACGTTCGATTTTATTTTGGCCATTCTAGTAAATCGAGGTCATGTTCGATTTAATTCTAGTTCATTTTAAAAATCAAACCTAGTCGATTTTTAAACCCGAGCCTATATTAATTGTTCAACTGACTAATTTAATTAGTCTTTAGTCCCGATCAATTTTATTGTCAAGCATTTAATAAATGAATGTTCGATTATTTAGCCCAAGACCAAGTTCGATTATTAGCCCGATTCTTAACACCCAATTTTGAGCCCAAGAAGCAAGTGGAACCCTAAGTCTTCCTACCTCTATAAATAGATCCCTTAGTCCATTCCACTAGCACACAATCCATCTTTCACTAGCAAACCCTAGATCTACACTCCATCTTCATCATCTTCTACACTCAAGAACAAATCCATAGCAAAATATCATCATATATCATCTCCATAGCTAAAAAATATCATTTCTTAGTCCAAAATACAATTTCTAGCCTTCATTTAAGGAATCCGACAAGTTTTCCCGTTTTCCGGCCATAATCCGGCCGACCCTGGCTCCGGCGAGCCACTTCCGGCGACCCAGTCCCGAGTCCACGCGCCCAGCTCGCCATCAGCCCGAAGCAGCCGCGCCCAGACCCGTCCAGCTGCTCAGCCGACCCGTTTCAAGCCGATCTATTTTCCCTAGTCTAGTCCATCTTCCGATTTTTCGTTTGAGCACGTTTCTGAGGTATAAGGCTTAAACCCTATTCCATGGCATTAGATATGAATTCTAGTTAATTTTAAAAATAAGTTTGAGTATTTTTCAGCTGGATATGAATTTATATGATTTTATTGGATTAAATGGATAAAAATTCGTAAAATATTCATGGCTGATCCAAAAATTATGATTCCAATTGGATAAATCACAATATGATGTCTTGAGGTTTAGGTTAAATTTTCGTGAATTTTGGAGCCCGTTTGATATGAAAATGGAATTTGTGAATTTGGATCGATAATGCTCGATTTTTGTTAACCGAGTTAGGAGTTGAATATTGTGGTGATAAAATTCCCATAAATCATATGAATACTGAGGAGTATGTGGTTAAAATTTCAGTTTTTAGATGCCGTTTGATATGGACTAATTCGAGACTTTAGCCTCTTTTTGCGATATTTTGAGAAATTGTTTCGGTTGTAATTTAGCTGAAATTGGTTAGGGAGTGATTGGATATGAATTCAATTTGTAAAAAACTAGTTTTTTTTGAATTATAGTTATGAAAAAAAGTAGTATAGTTAGTTATTAGTGAATATATTAAAATAATATTTAAATTAAAATAATTAAAGTTGATTTGATGTAAAAGTAGGAGAAAATGATTGAAAGTGATGGTTAGTTAAAATTATGTGAGTGAATAGTGAATTAAAGTTGATGTGATGTGTAATAATGATTGTTTGATATTATTTAATTATATCTATAATATTGATTGAAGATAGTGGAGTTGAGTTAAATTTGAGTTTTGAGTGGGATATTTACTGTACAAATTATAAACAATCACGCCTTTAATGTAAATATCTTATAAATCATGTTGATCTTAGGGTTAAAGTTTTGACTTAAAATAAGTTGGTTTACTCAGAGAACCAAATCCTAGTTTTATCCGATTTGGATAACCAGGTAAATTTTGCATCTGAATTTAATCACCCGAACCCTAAGTACTGTCTAAACAACTTTAGACGTCATAAGATTATAAATGAGTCCTTGGGTGTCGGGATGTGGTCGGTCGGCTGTTAGTCTCTGGGGCTATAACGGAGCCTAAGAGGGCTATCGAGGCCGTGTGCCTCGAAGCAATCGAAAAATCCAACCGACGTGTATTAACACGTATCCTTAACGCGTTTTGACGTCCCGCACACATGTTCGACCCTCGTTCGACTGTTGGAGCCAAACTATCGAGTGTGTGCCCGACCGAGTCCGTGTCGAACCACCGAGTGCGCGCTCGTGCACCGAGTTCGAGCTGAACCACTGAGTGCGTGCCCATACATCGAGTCTGTCTGATCTATCGTCATCCGTTAGACGTGGTCCAAGCACGCCCCTGCGTTCGTGACTGTGCCGTTTCAAACCCGTGCATCGACTAAGCTGAGCCAGTCGAGTTCCTGTCGGCCCGAGTTGCTACGTCGAACCAAACCGAGCTGCACATAGTCAGGAGAATGATCGACCGACTCCGAGTGAGTTGTCGGCCCAGTCTAGTCGAGCCAGTCCGAGTAGTCCGGACGTTTTGAGAAATTTCAGATAGATTAAGACTCGTATAGATTTAAGATCCAGACATATTTTTAGAACCAGTCAGATCTAAGATTTCAGATTTAGTCAGACTTAAGATTTCAATAGATTTAAGATTCAGATAGATTTAAGATTTCAGTCAGATTTAAAGATTCAGATAGATTTAAGATTTAAGATTTCAGTCAGATTATAGTTCCAGACATAAAAATATTTCAGAAAACTTTAGTATGCCTCAAACACAATAATATTTTCAAAATCAGCTCGTAAATCCTTAAAATGATTTATAAAATCGAGTGAGCGAACCTATACAGATCAAATAATAAAATTTAAGTTTTATTCTGAGCCAAGTACTTAGAATATTTTGCTCATAATTTTGTAGTTTGAGGAGAGTCGAGCCTCCACTAGCTATCAGATATTTCAGCATTTCCAGCATTTGCATTCGCCAGCATCCAGGTGGGGACCATTGTATTGTGTATCTCATCGCTTTTAATAATTTACCATGTCTGAGGTCTATATGTGATTAAATTGAAGGATCGGGACATTGAAGTTTCCACATCCAATCAAGACGGTTGAGTGATCCCATCTTGGTTAATATTTCAGTATTTCAGTTATGACTTAGATGTGTGGTGATTAGGGTCCGTCCTAAGTTTTGTGCTCAGACGCTGACCTTGTGTCTTTCCTGTGGCGATCAACATACACTAGCCCCTTATCCACTCCTCATTCTCAGAAAATCCTAACCCCTCGTCTCCTCCGGCGATCCTTGATTCACAACATCCACCATGCCCTAGGCCCTCTTCCTCAGCCAAACCGGTACTTCCTCACCTTTAACCATCTTTTATCCCTTCTTTCCCACAAGGTTCGTTACATGTTCTTCACCCGCCCCGACACCTGTTAATGGTCAACGTATTCGGCCTGTTCTGACCAGATCGGAGCCGGATTTCATACCAATACTCGTGTCGTGTCAACAAGGGTACGCCGGCAGTAGGTGCCGAGTCCGGGTAACATAGGATAGAAGTACTTGTATGTGTATTGCGTTAGTATATTCAAATATTATTGTTGAAAATGAAAGTTATTAGATCAAGAAATGCAATTAGACTCTATATAATCTTGGGTGGTTAGGCGGTTCATATTTTCCCCTGAATTCTTGAAAGACAATTTGAATGCCTAATTACTTTCTTGGTTATTCATGAGGCACATAATCATGAATGTGCAGAAACATCTGCTAGGAGTTGTTTCAATGTAATGCTTGGTCAGGTTCACATTGCCTAAATTGGCATAACAATTTTTTGCATTTTGCAGCTGCTCTTAAGCACTCGAGGACACCACCAGCCAATCTCGTTGAATTCTCATCTGACACTGAACATCCAAGCGAAAGAACCATGTAGTTGGGAATTTCTGATGAGGTGTTTGATTTTTTTTTTTTTTTCTGGCATAACTCTACTTCTTGATATTGCTTTTGTGTTATGATCGTTGTTATTTGTACATATAAACAAGTCAATCTTCCATTGAATGTTATTCTAGTTTCTTTTCCTTCAGTGCACCAGATGACTTGCCGAGGACACTTTGAACCAAGGGTCGTCTCCAATGAGCATGGATTTTCACCCGATCCAATGAACTTAGCTTCTTGGTTAGTCCTACAGCCAGATAAAATATCTTCACATAATTTATATTCTGTTAGTATTATCGTGTAAAAATTTGGTATATTTAAATCCTAGTAATTTAATTGGTTTTTGCTTTACTTTAAAAATCTTAAATATTTCTTATTTTGGTAAATGATTATCAGTTCCACTTCTAATAAATACGTGTTATAATCTTCCCGTGTAGCTCATCCTTCAATTCAACAATTCAAGCTTAGTATTGGTTTCCCCTTCATCACACGAGTTGCACTCTAGTAAGAGAAATGGGAAGAGAATTTTGCAATTCAAGCTTAGTATTGATTTCCCATTCATCACACGAGTTGCACTCGAGTAAGAGAATTTTGGTGTGAAAAATAAAGAGGTGAACGGAGGCATTTATAGAAAAAATATTAAAAAAATTATTCCAAGTGAATCGCCAATGTCTGGTTCTGTTAAGCCCGCTGATCGCCAAACTGTTGGGACGGTCACAAGATCGAAGATCTTGGTCGAATTTGTGGCGACAAAACTCGACAAGACAAAATATTTAAAATATTGAATTTTGAAAAATAACGACGGCGAATCGTTGTCCAAACCAAAACCGGCGGCTCAAAATTTTTAGGGGGTCCCCGAACTGGACAAACATATTACGGGCTTGGTTCCTTCTTGCCTCTATCCTGGTCAACAAGCTGAACCTCCCAACTTGACACTCAACGAGTTTGACCCGAGCAATTGTCTACATGCAGCACTAAAACGAGTTGGCTTAGAGCGAAACAGAGCAAGGCGGGCCAAGCCCATGATCCAGTCCGATCCAGCCCATGTTGATCCACGGCCAAAACATTACAGCTATTATATGACCTAGCAACATAATCCATTACAAATCACTAGTACTACTAGAACTATCAACAATTAGTAGCAACAATTACAAATATTACAAGCATTACATGACCTAGCAACATAATTCATTACAATTAGAACTAGCAACAATTAGCAACAACAATTACAAACATTACAACCATTACATGACTAAGCAACATAATAATTCATTACAAATCACCAATACTACAAAACTAGCAACAATAGCAGTAACAATTACAAACGACATAACAATGTAGCTATAATTTTTCAGCCAAAGTTTTGTCAGTAAAAAAGCAGTTACATTTTATTTTCACTCTAGTCATTTACACTTGCACCAGCACCATATGAATTTTTTCAAAGGGGAGGGATTTCAAATGTTAGCCCATCTTGATATCCATAGTACTGCACCCAAAAAAATTGGATAGATAGTTCATGCCATGTCGATCAAAGCTCTGATCTCGTCCATAATTAAGATGTTAAGATGTTGGGACTGGGTAGGAAAGGATGAAAGTTATGAAGAGCGTAATTATAATTGACGTTTAATGTAGGGATTGTTATTCTCAGCTTTGACAACAACTTGTCCAGCAGCAAATGAAATTCGGAAAATAAAAAAAGACAATTGAAAAAAAACAATTGAATGTTAATAATTACTTACGTGATAAGTTGAACATTGTCATCGATATCAAATTCATATAATCCACGAATCCCAAACCTATCTCAAACTCATATATAGGCTCATATATATATATTCAGGTCCCAAATCTTTTACGTGCTCATTTAACACTAATATATATGACATTCTATGACTTAAAATGAGAAACTAACCACAATTGGATTTTTGCACCTCTGCCTGAATAATATTTTCTCTTCATTCACAATGTATGCAATCCTTCCAATTGCATCCACTTGCGTTTAACACGAGAAACGTCAGTTATACTATAAAAAACCAACTATGCAAGTGTCCTTCCACCTCCATTGGACGGTTTTTCCTGTTTTGGAAAATCGACATCAAACGAATAACTGTGTAAATAACTGGAGCGTTATTCGTTTGATGTCGATTTTCCAAATCAGGAAAAACCGCCTGTAGATTGGCGACCAATGGAGGTGGAAGGACACTCATAGTTGTTTCTTATAGTATAACTAATGTTCCTCGTGTTAAACGCAAGTGGGATACGACTGGAAGGATTGCACACATTCAGAAAAAATATCGCTAAGGACAGAGGTGCAGAAATCCAATTGTGATTAGTTTCTCATTTTTAAGTCATAGGATGTCATATATATATGAGTTTGAGATATATATATATATATATATATATGATCTTATATATGAGTTTGAGATGAGTTTCGGCTTCGTGGACTATATAAATTTGATATCGGTGGCGATGTCCAACTTATCACATAAGTAATTATTACATAGTTTTTATAACATCCAATTTTTTTTTTCCTTAGATTGCCTTTTTTTTCTTAGATTTCCATTGTCATTTGATGCTGGACAAGTTGTTGTCAAAGTTGAGACGAACAATTCTACATTTTTAGAAACGTCAATCATATTTACGTTGTCTAGATTCATAACTTTCAACCTTTCCTACCCAGTATTATCATTGTGATTCTCATTGTGATTCTGGATGAGTTCAGAGCTTTGATCGATATGGGTGGAATTATCTATCCAACTTTGAAGATTGACTGACATTTGAAATCTCTCCACTCTGAAAAGGTTCATCTGGTGCTGCTGAAGCAAATGTAAGTGCCAATGGGTGAAAACAAAATGTAACTGCTTTTTAACTGACAAAATTCTGGCCGAAAAACTAAGACTACATTCTTATGTCGTTTGTAATTGTGCTGCTAATTGTTGCTAGTTCTGGTAGTATTGGTGATTTGTAATGGATTATATCATGTTGAATCAATTAGGAGGACACATTGCAGCCTTGGACGCCATTTAGGCTAGGGCATATCTGACTTAGTATATTGAAGTTTATACATGGTCAAGAAAGTTCTGCTTCTTGTGGTGGCTTCACATTTTCACTAATACTTTCATTTATACAATATTTATCTTTTCATATTTCTGAGATGTTAGATCACTTAATCTTCATGCAGGTAACGATAATGTTTGTGACCCTTGATAAAGTTTCTCAAGCAGACATCACAAAATATGCGGACATATTTCTCCTAGAAAATTATGCAGCATTTCAAAACAGGTTTATAACTTAGTATATAATCGCATCATTCAATTATGGATAATTGTTTTCCCCCTGTATTGTAATGTTTCCTTGACTATTATTCACGTGTCATTGGAATTTGCAGTCTGTACGACCTAGCTAATGTTGTGCCTACTTTAGCAAAATTGTATCACCAAGCAAGTGAAGCTTATGAGCAAGCTTGTATGCGCTTTATAAGCACAATCATATACGGCGTAAGTAATTTTCTTCACATTTACTGATATGCTTCTTGCACAGTAACTTCTGATCTCTCTCTCTCCGTCTCACACACACACACACACACACATTACACGCTCACACGCACGGTTGTTCCCCTTCCTGATCTGTTGAGATGCAACCATCTGTCTATTATCTAGCTTTTAAAGAGTTTCTTCAAGGATAATTACACCTCTTCTAGCACGCCTCACTATGACTTTTCGTATCACATGAGCAAGAGCAAGAAATCTTCTTCATTCCGCTTAAAGATTCCTGGGTTATAGCAACAAGACATGTTCACCGCCTGAATAATTGTATATTAATCCTTTTGGATAAATGAACAAAGCGAATCAAGCAAATACATTTAGTAGTGCACTGGAAAGAACTGTCAATGTCAAATAAGTTTCGAATGTTGACATTTTCTAGCAGTTGTGCGTTCCATGTCCACATCACTGTTCATATATATCCTTTACAGAACTTAAAACTAAAGTATTGAGGTAAAAATCGCAGATCCCATTCCAAATCGGTTTGTCCAAAGCAGATCTCAGGAAGGTTGTAAAGTCGAGTTTATCCGGGGTATGGAAATGTTGCTTGCTTAGATATTTTTGGCGCATGGTTTGAAGGATACGTGTTGAATTTCTTTTTTATTTTCTGTTTTTAGGTTGACAAGTCTATAACCGCAATGTATAAGAAATTGCAAAAGAATCTGACCTCTGAGGAACTGTTGCCTTCGTTGTGGGACAAGTGCAAGGTACTTTGACTGAAACAGCATGAATGAAAGTTATGCTTCATGAACTACTGTATAGCCTTCTTCTTATTTTATTTTTTTCTTCCAATCACCTATCTAACTTTTAAATGAATAATAATAATTAACATGGAAAGATTGTTTTTTTTTTCCCAAATATTTTATTATCCTACCTACGGCAGGCGGAGTTCCTCAACAAGTATGATAGCTTTGCTCAACTAGCTGCTAAAGTCTATCCGTCTGAGAAAATCCCGTCCGTCTCGGAAATGAGAGATCTATTGGCATCCATGTAGAGGAGCAGTGAGTTTTGATAACTCCTCAAGTTTTCAATTATAGAAGATGTTCGTGGTGATCTTTAATTTTTTTTCCTTTTTTTTGGGGTTGTTTTTTTTGGGCCTTCATTTGATTTATTCTTTTGTGACTCTTGCTCGACTGAAGATTTCTACTAGTTCATGGATGCATATTGATGCATGGCATGCTAGTAATCTTAGAACCTAATTATTTTTTACTTAAGAGTAGATTATTGATCAGTAATTCAATTTTGTTTAGTTGCTTCTCTTGTTTCCTGCATTTCTATATTTTGGCTTTCATTATTTCTCGATATAGGAAGAAGTATTCGAAGTTGTGGCATTGGTGTATAAACCGATTCTATTGCCGGGCAGTTTTTTGAGGGTCGATTGGACCTGTTAGATGACTGGTTCACGGTTTTTTTGAGTTTATCTTTTTCCAAATAATATATGTGGTGCAATATTTTTACGATAATTTCTAACGTTCATATAAATTCAATGCAATACCAATAAAAAGGTAAACATGTTTGTTCGTTGAGTAAAAATACTCAAGTTGTGTTGTACCTTATGATGTCTAAACACAAATATAAATACATACTATTTTCCTTTATAAAAACTAAATTTATTAATGTAAATATAAATAAAAAGTAATTATAGATCAATGAATGGGAAAGACTTTTTTTTCCCTCTTTTTCCAAAGCTCTCCGAAGTCCAAAGTTTGAATTCTTCATGTAAGCTGGAATTTATTTATTGTAGCAAAAGATGCTTATTATAAAGTCCTTTATATTGCTTCAATTATCCAACTGGCCCCAAGATATTTTTCCGAGCTTGAGTCCAAAGGTTTTGGCAGTGGATAAGAATCATAAGGTCAATTATTTTGCTTGGGACCAAACAAATTTTCCAAAATCTCTGTCTGCAACTTTCACTTTCAATTCTCATCAATCCTTCCAACTCCCATCAAACATGGTGGCTCAACAAGCTATATCCATGAGATTTTGCTCACACCCAACTCTCAAAGCCTTACACACAATCCTTCCTATATCGGAGAACCCGAGACTCGACACATTCCGTACCAAGAGATATCGACTCATAGTGCTAAAATCCTCTCGACAAGACATTCATTCTCAAGTTCAAGAAAGCAAACCATTGAGCTCAAATTCACAACATTTTTCCAAGAGTGAAAGCTTAAACTCGGGCCTTGATCACTAGAACAAATGGCTCGAGACGGCATTCTTGCAGACTCGAGCCACGTCCTCCAACTAATGCAAGTTAGCGGCGACTCGAAATCGCTTCACGCCGGCGACAGGATTTACGAGCACGTCGTGAGATTCTCATCCGAGTACAAAGTTTCGATCTTCAATAAGTTAATGAGCATGAATTTCAAGATGGGAGACTACAGAAGAGCCGGACGAGTCTTCGAGCAAATGGTCTCCAAGGATTTGGATTCTTGGAACACGTTCGTTTCGGGCTTGGCTGAGAACGGACAAGGGGAGGCCGCCGTTCGAGTTTTCTCGAGACTCGTGGAGGAAAACGGAGATTCTATAAAACCGGACGAGAAGACTTTCTTGGGCGTCCTCAAGGCGTGCGAGAGTCTAGGCGCGGTCGAGAAAGGAAAGGCGTATTTCGAGTCGATGAGTCGTGATTACCGCATTAGTCCCTCATTGGACCACTATGAAATCTACGTTAATCTCGCGAGGAATTCAAACGGGTCGAATGGTGGAGCGAAAAAGGCTGGTTATGTACACGACACTCGATATGTGCTCCATGATACTGACCAGGAAGCTAAGGAGAGAGCCTTGCTTTATCACAGTGAAAGATTAGCCATAGCTTATGGGCTTATCAGCACAGCTCCTGGTACAACATTGAGGATCATCAAGAAACTCAGGATTTGTGGGGACTGCCACAATTTTATCAAGATATTGTCTAGCTTTGAGAAAAGAGAGTTTATTGTGAGAGATAATAAGAGGTTTCATCATTTTAAGGATGGGAAATGCTCATGTAGGGATTTTTGGTAGAAAATATGACTGCCTGATCTGCCTTAACGATTAATTGTCTAACACAATAATCCATGGGTTTTGTTTTGGTTTTGTACATCATGTGCCATTTTTAGTGCTTTGTCAGGGCTCCTTTATTGAATAAAACTCCCTAGTAACCATTGTTTGAATATAAATAAGTTTATGATGCACAGATTGCATAAGTTGGTCTAAAAGAAATTCAAATGTTGAAGAATTCAATTTTCTAAAAGATTTTTTTTTTTTGTTCTTTTCAAAAGTCAACCATTAGAAAATTTCATTCATTTCCACACGTCATTTGTGGTGAATCGACTTGATTTTGCATCGTACTTAGGTTTAGGTCTAATTCACAAAAATTATACTTTGGTATAGATATATGGAAAGTACAAGTGTAAGAAACAACTCAACTCTCAACTAAATAATATAAAGGATGTTGGCCCAAACGATTTGGCCCCATAATAACATAGCCCATTTGAGAACCTCGAGCGAGTGGGTGAGGTAGCATACCGTTTGTCGTTGCCCCCGAGCTTTTGAGTGTGCACAACGTATTTCACGCGTCGATGTTGAAGGATTACGTGCATGACCTAGGGCACGTTTTGAGCTACAGCTAGGAGGTCGGGCAGAACCTGACTTACGAGGAGCAGGTGATAGCCATTCTGGACCGGGAGGTCCAACGGTTCGAGTTCGCTGGAGCCGCCACGGCGAGGCCGAGGCCACTTGGGAGCGAGAGGATGAGATCCGAGCTCGTTACCCAGAGTTTCAGTTCTGATTCGTACTATGTATTTTTCGATTCTTAGTTTCTAGTCGAGTCGGACTTATGTTTAGTTTGACATTTCCGAAGACGGAAATATTTTAAGGAGGATAGATTGTAACTCCCCGAATATTATTTGCTACTTATGGAGCTCGACTTTATTTCCATAAATAAACAGTTTCCTTATTGGATACATTTAATATTATTATTTGCATTAAATTGAATAATTAGTATTAAATCTAAGCCATGAAGAATTTATTCGATTTTTAATTATTAAAATTGGATTTATTTAGCTCAAGTATCGGTTTTATAATTTTTAAGATAAAATCGAGCCTTGGAAATAATCGGAAATTTTATTAAATTGGGCCGAAGCCCAATAATCGAGTGAGTCGATTTTATTCCGACCCACTTAAACAAATTGAGCCCACGTTCGATTTTATTTTGGCCATTCTAGTAAATCGAGGTCATGTTCGATTTAATTCTAGTTCATTTTAAAAATCAAACCTATAGTCGATTTTTAAACCCGAGCCTATATTAATTGTTCAACTGACTAATTTAATTAGTCTTTAGTCCCGATCAATTTTATTGTCAAGCATTTAATAAATGAATGTTCGATTATTTAGCCCAAGACCAAGTTCGATTATTAGCCCGATTCTTAAAACCCAATTTTGAGCCCAAGAAGCAAGTGGAACCCTAAGTCTTCCTACCTCTATAAATAGATCCCTTAGTCCATTCCACTAGCACACAATCCATCTTTCACTAGCAAACCCTAGATCTACACTCCATCTTCATCATCTTCTACACTCAAGAACAAATCCATAGCAAAATATCATCATATATCATCTCCATAGCTAAAAAATATCATTTCTTAGTCCAAAATACAATTTCCTAGCCTTCATTTAAGGAATCCGACAAGTTTTCCCGTTTTCCGGCCATAATCCGGCCGACCCTGGCTCCGGCGAGCCACTTCCGGCGACCCAGTCCCGAGTCCACGCGCCCAGCTCGCCATCAGCCCGAAGCAGCCGCGCCCAGACCCGTCCAGCTGCTCAGCNTATTCCATTATACCAATCATGCGAGCAACCACAATGCATTGGGTCTCTTAATAAAATATCATATGTCACGTAGGAAATAGACTTAGTCTATAAAAAAATGTCTCCCAATGCAATTAAAAGTGGACATGATCTAGCTTATGTGACAATAAAAAAAAGAGACCAAGTTCATACTTGGGTCTATTTTGGACCCAAGTACAAACCGAAACACTAATCGTTTATTCATAATTTATTTTTTCTTTTAATAAAGAAAATATATTAGAGCATTTTTATTGATTGACATGTATTTTAGACCTAGTGTTTTATTTTTGTATTGAATAACTTTTGAGTTTTTTTACTTGGGTTAGTCCATGTCATTTAGGACTTAAGTCCATTTATATGCCACATATATCAAATTAGACTCAATGCATTGTGCGTGCTCTTAAGGAGAGCATATTTTTAATTGAGTGCTTGAAGCTCATGGGTTAGGGAAATTTTGGATTTTTTTTCATTCGAATTTTGTCTTCGAATTACAGATGTTGTAAAGGTTACTGCCATGATTGTTAATTAATTCCTTGAGCTTATTTGTAGTACGAATCCATAGTTACTTCCTTTTCGTGTAAGTCTCCACCTACTATTTTCTTTTTCTCGTATCTGAGACACAAATTTTTTTTTATTTTTCCTCATGAGATTCAATTTAATATCCATATTATATATATGAAATAAATAAAAAAAAAATTATATTTATAGTATGATAATAATAAAATTATTTATTAATATGAACTAGAAAAATAAAATTATTTATTAATTAATATATTTATGTTTAAAGTAGTTATACGGTATAAGTTAGTTTCAGAATAAATTTTTTAACAAGCACGGGCGGTTGGGCCAGATTGTGATTGGTTTAGTTTTCCTTTTCCCTTGACCCATCCGATCAGTCAATCTCAGAATTGAGCGCACCATGAGTTCCAACCTCCCTTCTGCTCAGGTGAATGTGGGTTTTAATACCGCTCAGGTGGATGTGGGAATTGAGCGCACCATGAGTTCCAACCTCCCTTCTGCTAAGGTGAATGTGGGTTTTAATACCGCTCAGGTGGATGTGAGTTTTAATGTGAATGTGTCTGTAACAAGACCCCCAAACTCCATTACAACATAAATGGCTTTAAGTAGCACCAAAGAAATGATACGTAAAAGCTATAAAATATTATTATAGACAATAGATAACACAAGCGTTGCAATTGTTTGTGGTACCATAAAGTCAAAGGTAATATGATACTTTAGCAAGTAAAATTTATAATAAAAGTGTTACAACAATATAATACATAAACCAATAATATGATACATTTCCTAAAGTCATTTATGTTGTAGTGTTTGTACCCTTCCATCCACCCTACATAAACCAATAATATGATACATTTCCTAAAGTCATTTATGTTGTAGTGTTTGTACCCTTCCATCCACCCCTTCCATCCACCCAGGTAAGACCGGTAATTTTTTAAGCCCCTATTTGCCTGAGAAATTTATGTTGGATTGTGGTTCTGTTTTTTATCAATTGAAATATTGATGATAGTTATGGTGTGATTGATGAAAAACGTGTTTTCGAAAACTTTACAGTAAAGGAGCTGTTCAAGTGGTAACTGTACATGCTTCTGTATCTCATTGCATGTGTAATTTATACTGAATATGTGAAATGAAACGGATTGGCTTGTTTTGGCTCGATATCTTAAAAAATAAATAAAAAATCATCCTTCAAAAAAATTGTTATTCGATTTCTATCCTTTATTTTGGTATATAGTATATGTTGTATTCATGGTAAACAAAAATAGGAGCATAACGATGTCATCTAAATGCAAACTTATTAAACTATTACTTACTAATTAATAAATTGTGCAAATATTTATATAGTAGATTGATGATAAATTATGGAAGGTGATGAATAGTAACATCAAACAACAATATAAAGTTTGCTGAAATATATTAGAAAATCCAAAATTTTATTTAAATATGTATTAAGTTTGCAAAATAGTTTAGGAAATTAAATTCTTTAAATATTTAAAAATTATTTATTCTTATCATTACTTTATATCTAAGTATCTTATCTTATTTAATAAAAAGCCATTTCAAGCACTATAGCTTTTTATTGTTTTTTATTCTTCACGTTGCGTCTCATCTTGCCACGTAAGAATTTTGAAAGTGTTTTACCTCATTTGCCCTCAATTTCCCTTACTAATATTTTTATATTTATATTTTCATGTGAATGGGCCGAAACTGGGTCATGTCTCTTTTTCCCGAATCTTCCGTCTTCTCTTATTTTCTCACTTAACCCATCAGGTCGGCCGTACATCGATCCTCACCACCGCAGAATCTTCCGTCTTCCTCTCTTGTTTTGGGTATAAAATTTCTCCATCGACGCGGAGATCTTTCGCGGTTACTTTTTTTTTTTCGCAATTAATTTTCATAATTTCCGTAGATTTGAAGTATGTATCAAATTGTCGAAAATAAAATTAGTCTTGGTGTCGAATCGGTTTCAGCCGCCAACATCCCGTTCACCTTCGGCCTAAGCTCGATTTAAACTTTTTCTATCACCTTCGCTGGACCACTGCACTGGAGCCACCTCTGGTCATGTCTTGTTTCAGATTAAAAGTTTTCCTCATCTACATTTTTAGTTGTCCTTTGGCTTGTACTGCAGTCTAAGAGCATCTCCAATGGTCATTCTATTTCTCTATTTTGTTGCCACATGTCACAAATAATCTTATGTGGTTTGAAAAAATTCTAGAAGGCTTTCTAGATGTAGAAGCCTTTCTAGACAACTTCCATTGTATATTAGCATATTTATTTAATTTATTTATCTTTTTCAACCAATTAAAATTTTACACATTACAAATGATACCACAATTAACATCAACCATTGGAGACATAATTTTTTAGTTTTCATTCTCCATGCCATACAACACAAAATGGATCATTTTCCATTGGAGATGCTCTAAAATTGCAGAGAAATAGAAAGGAATTGAAGAGAAACCATCTAAGACTACAAAAACCAAGGTACATAAACCAACTTATATACAAAATCTTCAAGATATTAAATTACAGAGAATGCATAAAGTATGCCATATTTTGTGGCCTTTGTTATTTAAGATATATTTTTGGGATGTCTCTAACAGTCTTAATTTCATGCATATGTTTATGAAACCAGGTAATTGTTTATTCAAGCAATGTTTATTCAAGTACTTGTTTATGTTTTCCCATAAAATTGAACGGGGATATCTAATTCAAAATTATATCTTTGTGCGATCGTATGTGCCAATTTTGATTGACTTGTGCTTGTGAGATATTAAATGTGACAATTTTTTACTTTCTTAACATATAAGTTTTAACACTGCACGAGTAAAAACAATAAAGACGTTGATGAACAAGAGTTGTGATAGAATTATGAAATGATTTGTAGTCACGGCTCGATGGTGAAAATCCAATTATGGTACATTTTTCTCCGAACTTTTGTGTGACCAAACAAATGGAGATTTTTGGATATTTACATGAATTCAAGATTAATATGCTTAATTTGACTGAAACTTCCAAACAAGTTATTGTTATCATTTGAACTGATCACAAATAATTCTCGTTATTGAACTTACGTCTAATGATATGATGTGATTTTGGATGTTATGTGCCAGCATGACACCCGATCTTCACAGGAGTTCGAGGTTAGGAGTTGAGATTTGGATCCTCTGTAATTAAAAAACTATTTTGAAGGAAGGCAAAATGTCAAATTGACCTGGATTATTAATAGAAAATGAAAATTAGAGGCGTTTTACATCTCTGGGCTTGTTTCAACTTCTATTGGTATCGGGTTTGTTTAATCTTTTCCTCCGCTTATTGTTGTTTAATCTTGTTGTTTTCTTTTCGATTTTTTATGTATCTTCATGTTGTGTTTTTTAAAATAAATTAGAACATAAATTATATGCCTCTTTAGCTAATGGTATCTATATTTTTATAATTTTAATGCTTGCATTTATCTCTTTCGTTTTGTATCACAGTATTCTACCAAATATGGAATATATCATCCTTTTTTTAGCCGATTGTTGTTGAGTAGGACAAAATTATTATTATTATAATTATTATTATTATTATTCTTTTTATTTTAATTTAGGTTTTTATGTAATGTAATGTGAATGCACTCTTAAATGTAAAAGAATGCTGTTAAATTCTTCATATTGCATAACAATGTATTTCTTTGATTAGTTGCCGATAGTGTTGTTATATTAAACGAGCTCGGCTCGGCTTGAGTTCAGCTCAAGTTCAAGGCCTTAACGAGCTAAGCTCGAGTTCATTTAAAGCTCGTTTGGTTAACACTCAACTCGATAAGGCTCAATAAAGCTCGAAAATAGAATTTTTATATAATTTTTTATAATTTAGCTTGTTAAAGCTCGAGATCAGCTCGTTAAGGCTCGAACTCCAGACTTTAAGAGCCGAGCTCGAGCTTGATTTTTGGCTCATTTATTTAACAAGCCGAGCCCGCTCGGCTCGTTTATTGCCCTAGCTGCCGGCAGATGAGGATTGCAAAATTGATGAGTGAAAGAGGAGGGGATATTTTACTGTGCTAATTGTATGGTTAGGATGAAAGATTTTTGTAGATCCCACGAACATGAATTAAGCATTTACAATATTTGAAAACAATTGACTTGGTAAAACTATTAATTCATATATGACAATTGTAATAAAAAACTAGTGGGTAGACGACTGTGCACGCACAGCCAGCCCTTGTTCAGTCTATAATTATCTCTAATATTTGGGTAAATTTAAAATACGCATACCCACATTTTATAGCATTTTAAATTTAGCTTCAAATAAGTTAACATGAATCCATAAGAAATTCAATGGTACGCTAATATAATAAGATATCCACCAATTAACAAAAATAGAAAGTTAATAGAAAGTTTTTATTTGAACACAAGATCTAAGTAGTTCCGTTGTAAAGCAAAAGATTATTATCTAGTTAACGATCAACCAATACAGTACCATAACGTTGTACTAAATTTCAACCCTAAAAGCAATTCCTTTCATTCCATAATGTGCTATTAGTGTAAAGGTTTGTGAGCCTTCAACGATGTTTTCGGTTATAAAGTACCCTGAACACATGAAGTTATATATCATCAATAAAGGTAAAACAATATTGGGACTCTAACGGGCTAATAAAGCTCACTCAGACTAACTGTAGACATTAAATTCATCAAAACATAAAACAATCAATAAAAAAATAAATAAAAACATTCTTGCCAGTAGTTGTCAAAACTGAACGTTATACTTCAATGGCAGCTAAGATGTTGAATGATTGAAGGCTAAATGTCACATCACTGTGGCAGTGATTAGTTATGCATGACTCAATTGGGATAATTTTTTCAAAAAATAAACAAAAGGACAAAAATTCCATAAATAATTTTATTAGTCCTAATTTTTCTTATACCCAAGAAGTCGAATATATATAAACTAATTAGTTTATCCAGAGTTATAAGTGGAAATTTACTGATAAAAAGGAAAAAAAATACCTTTCGAGATTTTATGAGTTCCTTCTTCAGCTAAGCTTTGGCACGTGATTGACGACTCTGCAGTGTACCATGGTATTGCTTGGCAGTCACGTAAACTGGCTCCTGTTCCACCACAGGGGCAGTGGCATCCTCACTTGATGCAAATCATATAACTGAGGGACCTTGATAATTATTTTTTTTTTTTTGAAAAATCATGAAAATGAGGGANGTTAAAATCGTCCGACTGGGAAAAATGTGAGCATTTCTATTTGTTGCGTTTTTTATTCCTTTTAGTTTGCTTTATAATAAGTGCGGTTTACTTATAAAATTGCACCTATGTTTCTCTTGTTTTTTTGGCTTATGTTTTCTGGACCATGTGTTGCTTCCTTATTGGCCATTATGGCAATATGGCTTAGCATGCGAACAAAACGTGATGTTTGGACTGAGGGCCTGAAACTGATGATCCGAGCTTAGAGCTCTGTTCATCAATGGGGATGAGAATTTCCGAAACTCAAATTCTCTTTACTTACAAATTACTTGAAATTAGTGAGTTCTACAGTAATTACTCGACTTACATCAAAGTTGAACTTCACAAAGGAAGTGTAGATAATTACAATCATTAGCCATTACGTATAAGTGAAATACCTCTAGAAAAGTGATCATGCAGGAAAAGTTTATGCTACAAAGAAAAAATTGAGGGATATGAAATGACATGGGATCATCCTCTTTGTCCCCAAAGTTACGATTGTTATTCAACTCCCTTAGTTTCAGATGCAACTAACATGTCCAAAAAATGCAGATGGATTTATTAACTATATCATGATATACAAAAAAGTTGGTTGTCACAGATAGGTCATCAAGCTTACCAATTTATGTATTTGCCTATAAACGAAAGTGTTGAAATTAGTTTTGTCCTCCTTTGTCAACTCATTCTTGCACTTGAGCAATACAGTATAATAAGCAAAGTCATTCAACATTTTGGGAAGATAAAGGGAATGCAAAAAGAAACATATGTAAATGTTCACTCGTCTTCACATCGTTTCAGATGGAAGCAAATTTCTTATCAGCGGCATCTTACAATAAAGATGATTCATAGAACTCAACTATCACTCATTTACACGAAATTTCAACTGTTTCCGTTATTATAATGTCTTTCCATGTATTGAAGGCACTACATGCAAAACAATAAAAAACTTGTTGACCAATCAGGCATTAGTCCGGTAAATGAAATTGTATTTAAAGCTCGTGAAGAAGTTTGATGGGCTAGACGACATCATAGCACTGTAGAAGGAATACTGAAACTTGAAAGTAATTTAAGGGAAAATTAGATGGCAGAAGATTATCATTTCATTTTCATATACATTAGTAAATGTTATCTCCAGACATCAGTTATCGTGTATATATTGTACTTTTAATAGCCTGCCAAGTGGAGAAAATAACTAAAAAAAAGTGCCATCAGCAACGATTTTGGTCCTCATCCCAACATTCTACAAAGTAATTTTATGATATTAAGGGATTTGTATACAACCAATACATAAATACTGGTTCATAACAGGTAAAAAAGAACTGTGCACCTTCAAAAATTTAGTACCTCTGGGGTCAAAATTATAGAACGATTTATATACGTTGACCAAAACTTGAACAAATGAGCTCCAGCAGAACTGCAATGAGAAAAACATCAGAAATAATAGTGTCCTCTCATTTTCTTCTCTTTTAGATTTTTCATTTTTTGTCTTTTCCTTCATTTTTTACCCTTGTTTTAGGATAGGAAAGCATTCTAAATAGTTCCAACATGAAGCAAAAAAGAAAAAAATGAATTAAATATATAAGGCAATCATAACAGAAAGACAAAGGAGAAAAAGGCAAAAAATTTTAAAAACAAACCTTTGTGCAAATGCAAGACGTGTGTGATGCCAGATCGCAGGCATTACTCTCGAGTCCTCGTAGAATCTCATAAAATGAGCAACCAAAGCATTGAACACAGGTGACGGCAGTGCGTAATTCTTCTCAATCAACAACTTTATGAAATAACTACCACAATACACACAAATTATAATATATTAAACAGATCCCGACTGTCCAATAATTACAAATAACAGTCCTAAAAAAATCCTTTCTAGTGAGAGATCATTTGACTAATTACACAGCCATAGTTAATATCATCTTTTATCTGATTCACAAGTTACTTCTGAAAGCAGAGGAATAGTGAAGATATGAAACTATTTTATACGTTATCACTCACAGTAGACTTAAAGAGTTCTACACAAAATCATTCCTCATAGTATCATAGTACTCCATCTCTGCAAGCTTCAACAATGAAACACAGCTATTAGAACAAAAGAATAACTCATACCAATAAAGAGCCAAAATCGCCATTTAGACGTATATAAAATGAGCACCAAACTATAAAAAGAGAAAAGCAAATGACACGAAATTAGTGACATAAAATTTACCTATAGCGTCATTTTGGAGTTGATCCCAACGGGTGCTGGTTAGGTGGCGGCGAAGGCCAAGATTATGATACACTCAAGAGGCCAATCAAAAGTCGCCTCACGCGATCCCAAAAAAAAAAAATACCTAGAATAGGATTACACCCGAAAAAAATATGAAAACCCACAAAATAGTGAGTTGTTGGTGAGTAGATAACCCTCGTAGCCAATTAAGAACAGTGGTAAAGAAAGCCCCACGGGACCAAACTTATTGAGTAGATGAGGTGGAAAGCTGCTATTCTACCAAGCACGACTTGTTCCTCCACCGCCTACCTTAGATGGCATTCCAACAACAAGTCTTGCAGGTAGAGACTTGTATACAAGTTCAGGTGCATGTAGGACAAAAAAAAGGTTATATTTCAAATTTATATCATGGAAAGAGGGCACAAAAACTGCTTTTATTAAAACATATGATATACACAGGGATTGAGGATAGAATAGCACGGGACCTTCAATTGATCTACAGAAACCGACATCAACACCTCGATAATCAAGTTCCTCATCCTGTATCAAGTGCAACCAAAACTTATTACTTGCAAGGCTCCAAACATCTTTAAATAATCAAGTAAAATCAAAACATGAAAATTTTAGAAGTTTGACCTCCTTTTGAAGTGGGTTCTTAGGTGACTCGTCGAACCGACGTTCTCTCCAAGTAACGCTCGGTCACCAGAAAATCAGCTGGATCCTCGACCAATTTCTCCCAGAGGACCCTGGATGCGCTTTCCGGCGGATACGTGTCTCTGTGAGTGAAGTTTTCGAGCGACGCCACCATGGATCCGCGGCTGAGGAACTCGAATTTGTCCTCCCCATCCTCGTCCTCGCCGGTGAGGTACATCGACATGCCTAAATCCAAGGTGCCTGCGTGGGTCGACGGCTACGTGATCGGGAATGCGGGATCGTGTCGGTGTCATCAAACGTAGCCACAACTTCATTCGATTTCCCTATGAAGTTCTTCTTTTCCGTCTCAACCTTGATCTTCCACCACCAAAAATTCGCCCGAAACAGCTGTTGCTCAGCTTGAACCCTAACCCATGAGCGGGGGGTCATCGGACAGATTGACGGACCGTGTGATAAGGGTGGGTGCGTCACTCGGCTGCTCAAAGCCGAGCTGAGATATGGCAAGAGAAGGGGAAATGGGGGAGAAAAGGAGGACGTGTGAAAGCCATTATTTCAGGCTGCTTTGTGACTAATGACAAAACGTGTGCAGAAGTTTCGGAAGAAAGTAAAAAAGAGGGATAATGCAGGGGCAATTTGACCATCACACATGCCACGTAAAAATTAGGGCAACAGTGTAAAAATTTTCGTCCAAAAAAAATACACGTGTCAAGCCTCAAATCCCTCATACTTTTGCTTATATGTAAGAGAGATTTTGTGCAAAAAAGGAATAATGTTGTGTATAGATGTACTAAAAGTTTATGTGTAGCATTGTTGTGAAAAAGAAAATTACATGTGGTGAGGAGGGTGATTTTGCCAATAAAATATATAATGACAAATAATTTTATTATGGTTTGTATATATCTTTTTATTTAGTCAGTATGTTGTGAAATTATTAGGCTGTAACGATGACGATTTGCCAAAAAATAAAAAATAAATAAAAAACGTTGTTCACAATAAAATATTTAATAATATATAAATGAAAAATCTTTAATATTTCTTATTTAGATGAAGTGATGATCAGTTCCACTTCTAAATGTACGTGTTATAATCTGCCCGTGTAGCTCATCCTTCAATTCAACAATTCAAGCTTAGTATTGATTTTTCATCCTTCAATTCAACAATTCAAGCTTAGTATTAATTTTCCCTTCATCACAGAGTTGCACTCTAGTAAGAGAAATGAGAAGAGAATTTTGGTGTGAAAAATAAAGAGGTGAATGGAGGTATTTACAGGAAAAATATTATAAAAAATTTATTCCCAGTGAATTGCCAAGGTCATCCAGGTCCGCAGATCGCCAAGCTCTGAACCATGTATCAAATTTGTGGCGACAAAACGCGGCAAGACAAAATATTTAAAATATTGAATTTTGAAAAATAACGACGGCGAATCGCCGGGCCAGGCCAAAACCGGCTGCTCAAACTTTTTTAGGAGGTCCCCGAACCGGCCCAAACATATTAAGGGTCTCGTTCGTGCTTGCCGTGGTCAATTGTCTACACTCAACGGGTTTACTGAACAATTGTCTACATGCAGCACTAAAATGAGCTGGCCTAAGAGCCATGTTGATCCACAGCCCAAACATTACAGCTATTAACATAATCCATCACAAATCACCAACACTAGCAACAACAATTACGAACATTAGATGACCTAGCAACATAACTCATTACAAATCACCAATACTACCAGAACTAGCAACAATTACAAACGAAGCCATAGTTTTTCAGCCACAAAAATCAGTTACATTTTGTTTTCACCCATAGGCATTTACACTTGCACCAGATGAACTTTTTTCAGAGTGGAGGGATTTCAAATGTCATTTACACTTGCACCAGATGAACTTTTTTCAGAGTGGAGGGATTTCAAATGTCAGTCCATCTTGATATCCAAGATATCCATGGTACTGCAACCTAAAAGTTTGATAAATAGTTCTTGCCATATCGATCAAAACTCTGAAGTCGTCCAGAATCACGATGTTGAGAATCACGATGTTGAGACTGGGTAGGAAAGACTGAAAGTTATGAAGCTGGACAACGTAAATATGATGGACGTTTCCAAGAATGTAGGGATTGTTAATCTCAGTTTTGACAACAATTTGTCCAGCAACAAATGGCAATGGAAATCCGATACCAAAAAAAGACATTGAAGAAAAAAAACCAATTGAATGTTATTTAAAAACAATGTAATAATTACTTACGTGAGAAGTTGAACATCGCCACCGATATCAAATTCACATACTCCAGGAAGCCAAAAATCATCACAAAATATATATTCTAAATCCCAAAGCCTAAATGTGCTCATTTAACGCTCAAACATATGGTATCATATGACTTGACAAAATAGGAAACTAACCCCAACTGGATTGTGGTTAGTTCCCATTTTTTCAAATCATATGATGCCATATACTTTAGTGTTAAATGAGCACGTAAAGGATTGAGACCTAAAATATATACATGTATGCACATATATATATATATGTGAGTTTGAGATGGGCTTCAACTTTTACAGAGTATAAATTTATATCGGTGGCGATGTTCAACTTCTCACGTAAGTAATTATTACATTGTTTTTAAATAATGTTCAAATGTTTTTTTATTCAATTTCTTTTTTTTTCCCCCGAATTTCTATTGTCATTTGCTGCTGGACAAGTTGTTATCAAAACTGAGATGAACAATCCCTACATTTTTGGAAATGTAGTCCAGCTTCATAACTTTCCAAGAATGTAAGAACTGTTCATCTCAGCTTTGACAATGACTTGTCTAGCAGCAAATGACAATGGAAATCTGGAAAAAAAAACACAATTGAAGAAAAGAAAAATTGAATGTTATTTAAAAACAATGTAATAATTATTTATATAAGAAGTTGAACATCGCCATCGATATAAAATTCATATACTCCAAAAAGCCGAAACCCACCTCAAAATCATATATATATTTTTTCAGGACCAAAAGCATTTACGTATACATTTAATACTAAAGTATATGACATCCTATGACTTGAAAAAATGGGAAACTAACCACAATTGGACTTTTGCATCTCTGACTGAACAATATCCTTCCAATCGCACCCAACTTGGGTTTAACACGAGAAACATTAATCGTACTATAAGAAACAAACAATTATGCAAGTGTCCTTCCACCTACATTGCTCGCCAATCTACAGGTGGTGTTTCCCGATTTGGAAAATCGACATCAAGTAAACTGGAGCGTTTACCATAGACTTATGAATGACGTCCAAAATTGGATTTACGCTCATCTCAAACACGAGGCGTAAATCTAATTCTGCATGTCATTCATAATTCTATGGTAAACACTTCAGTTCGCTTTATGTCGATTTTCCAAATCAGGAAAAACTACCGGTAGATTGGCGAACAATGAAGGTGGAAGGCACTTGTGTAGTTGTTTCTTATAGTATGACAGATGTTTCTCGTGTTAAACGCAAAGGGAGTGCGATTGGAAGGATTGCATACATTGTGAATGAAGACAAGATATTGCTCAGGCAGAGATACAAAAATCTAAAAATCCAGTTGTGGTTAGTTTCCCATTTTTTCAAGTCATATGATGTCATAGACTTGAGTGTTAAATGAGCACGTAAACGCTTTGAGACCTGAAATATATATTCTTATATATGAGTTTGAGATGGACTTTGACTTCATGGAGTATATAAATTTCATATCGGTTGCGATTTCAACTTCTCACGTAAGTAATTATTAAATTGTTTTTAAATAACATTCAAATTTTCTTTTCTTAAATTTTCTTTTTTTTTCCTCAGATTTTCATTGCCATTTGCTGCTGAACAAGTTGTTGCCAAAGTTGAGATAAACAATCCTATATTTCTAGACAAGGTCAGAGCTTTGATCGATATGACAGTAACTATCTATCCAACTTTTGGGGTGTAGTACTATGGATATCAAGATGAGCTGACATTTGAAATCCCTGTGCTCTGAAAAAGATCATCTGGTGGTGCTGGTGCAAGTGTAAATGCCTATGAGTGAAAACAAAATTTAACTGTTCTTTTTTTACTTTTTTTTTTAACTGACAAAACTCTGGCTCAAAAACTATGGCTACATTCTTCTGTCATTTGTAATTGCTGCTACTAATTGTTGCTAGTTCTGGTAGTGCTAGTGATTTGTAATGGATTATGTTGCTAGGTCATGTAATGTTCGTAATTACCGCTGCTAATTATTGCTAGTTCTAGTAGTACTGGTGATTTGTAGTGGATTATGTTGCTAGGTCATGTAATGAGGCCGTGGATCAACATGGACTGGCCTACTATTTTATTTCTATAATTTATTGTCTTAAATTTTAATTGATGGGGCCTATGATCCATCTTTAGGAAAAGGAAACATTTCTATTCTTGACAAAATAAGTTTACAGCCCTAAGCCGTCCTGCCATGCCATCCGCCCTCCCACTTTGAGCTTCCCGACAACCACCACCAAGCCCAAGGAGGCGCCGTCCTACTGCTACCTAATACAAAGGCTGATCAGAGATTCAAAGGCTGATCAGAGATTTAAATTTGTTGCTGAGCGGCGATGTGGTTTGTATAGCCATTGTAGTTGCCACGCTTGTAGTTTGGGACTTGATTAGATCCGGTGGTTGTGTATCGCACCTTGGAGTTTGGAGCTTGATTAGATCCAATGGTTGTGTGTTACACTAAGCAACAGTGAAAGCAACTCTGTCTTTTCCCTAGTCAGAAGAAGCAAAATCTGCTATATATTCATGTGCCAAAGAATACTAGCAGAAGAACGAAAAGGGCTTGGTTCGCGAGCTAATCAATATGACCTCTTCCTAATCGTTGATCTTAAGCGAGCCAAAAAATGTTATCATCAAGTATACACTAACATCAATTAAAGTAGATAACCAACCAATGTAGTCACGGCTTATTAGCATTACAAGTGTCTTGATAATGAAATAGGACTAGCATAAAGCAATTCAGAATGACATTATGACAATATCCTAACATACAAGGGAATGCTCTGATTTCACAATAACTGAAAGGGATATAAAAGAGATAAAACAACTACTCATGTGAGTGAACACACAAAAATTGCTTACATATTATCTTCAAACATTTGAGAACATGATTCTTTCAATGCAAGACTTCACTTTAAATTAATATACGATTCAATTAACATCTTAATAAACCGGTAACATCAACTGTTTGTTAATGGTTTGTTAATGGTTAGGGATTGTTAGTTAATTTGTGATACTAGTTTATTTATTTATGATTTTTTATTGTATGTTTAGGGTTATGGTTCTTTGACTTATAGTGTTGTTTTGGCCTTCTCAACGTTGTTGTTGTGTTTTTGAATTTGGATGTGTATAATTGATGTTAAGTTTTAGATGAGAACGTAGTGTGTGATCTTTATACAACTTGATATTAATTTTGTAATCAATTAAGTGAATGTCTTAAGAAAGTGTTATGAGAGGTATGTTAATACTAGAATTAACATCAAAATTGGAGCATGCATGATTGGTTGATATTAATATGGTAATCAATTAAGCAAAAATTATGTATGAAGGAAGTGTTATGAGTGGTATATTAATATTAGAATTAAAATTAAATTTGGTGCGTGTGTGACTATTTTATCTCGTGATTTGAATTGATACCGTGATGAAAAATGGATGAACCAATATGGCAGATATTATTCTCTATCTGGTATTTTATTTGTCCTAACTTGTTTGTCCTAGTTGCACATTGTTTCATGATTCTATCAATTCACAGTATTACTCATGTTAATTCCAGTATTCACATACAACCCAACACTAAATTGATTACCATAAAAGTTAATATCAACACAAAACTATTTAATTGATTACCATAGAGTTAATATAAAAAAAATATATATTTAAGACTTACCGTTTACTTAATTGATTACCATAGAGTTAATGTCGAGTTTATATCAAACAAAGATTTTCAGACCCAGAAACATAGCAACAAAACAAAGCAACAATGTTAAATTATATA